CCCCAAAACCCCAAAACCCCAAAACCCCATATATAGAAATTCACATCAGAAATATCATTATGAAGAATGTATTATTGTCCAAAATAGTAATAATAAGTAAATAGAATAGATCTTTTTCAACTTAGATCGGAATTGTCAAGGCAATGAAAAAACTTCATTCATTGAAGGTAATAAACTTCAACTTCAGAAGTTTTGAAGTTCATATTACCAAAAAGATAACTTCTGGCTTCAGAGCTTTGATATTCCATTCCAGAAGGTAGATCATAAGCTTTTCCCAAATCGGTAAAGCTTTTTGAACTTGCATTTGAGTTAGTTGCAACATATAAATCATAGCCATCTCCAAAAGTGGGGCCATTATCGTAATTATCATTGATGGCGTTAGGACCTTTAGCAGGAAATTTAACTTAAATTTCAGCTGAAAATATGAAAGCTTCCTTATCAGTAACCCATCTGCTAGCTGATTTCCAAGGTTAGGAAGTATATCCTCCAGCAACTCTCCCAGTTGCTGTTTTAATTATTGTCAAAGTGGGTCCTTTATAATCACATTTTTAATGGAAATTTTGAGATGTAAAACCATTCTCGGTTCCTCTGTAGCAAAGAGTAGAGATTGAGTATTCTTTATCAATGAGGCTTTAAACAAACGGCAAGTTGGTCTAGTTCAAGATTTTAGAGTCAGCTAAAAGTTAGGGGCTTAGCTATTACTTAATATAGTCGAATTGATTATTTTTGCTCTTATCTGAGGAAAACATGATTCTTCCGAAACAATCGAGCACAGAAATGGATACCTCATTATAAGCAGCTATCTTGATTCCATAAATAGACTTGATGCTATACCATTAAAGTGCATTTGGATCCCACCTTATAAGTTAAAAGTTATCTGATAATTTATCTTTGACACAGCTAAGAGCCCAGATGCTACCATCAACACCCACAGTTATATCTTTCACGCATTGTTATCCGTAGCCGATTGTATTACCTTGAGCATCTACGTAGATAGGAACCTCATCTTTTAATGCTAATTTTGAGAATTGAGTAGGAGAAAATAGCTTGTACTGGTAGCCATCACCTTGAATCCAGGTGTTTAGCAATTATTAAGGATTTGATTTGGTTATGGTTTCTGAGATAGCATATATTTTACCTTAACCAGTAACCTCAAAGTCCTTAATATTCTTAAGTATGACCTTGGTCTTTGAATTTTGAGCATACAATTAGTTATTTTTATCGAGAGCGTAGAAGTTTCCAAGCTTATCGAACTTAATATCTTTAGGTTAGAAGACGTCATCAAATAATTACCAATCTCCCTTAACAAAGTTAAACTTGAATCCATATCTGAAAATGTATTTATCATCTTCATATTGCTAGATTCCATAAAGTTCTCCACTAGGAGATGAAGAAATATCAATAAAGCTGCTAGTTTAACCCCAGTAAAGATCTGTTGTATTTTTCCATTCAAAATTATTCCTGGGTTCTTCAAGCCAGAGTGACTGATTATCTTCGACTCCATCTAAGCAAGTAGTTTAATTCTACGAGCTCCATACATAATGCATTGCAAATCCAAGCGAGAATACTGCTGCATTATGGAGTAATTATTTCTTAGTAGACTGCTTGTCTGACTAAATCATCGGTTGATGACCGTTGAGTAAGAGAGTCTTATTCATATAGATATCCTTAAAATATTGAGGATTCGCAATTTATTATTATTAAATCAGATTGGTCGATACCTTAAATATTAAATATTTGCTTAAAAAAACTTTTTAAATAGGTTTTTGTAATCTGCATATCCCTTCATCAAAATATTATATCAGTTTCATTATTTGAAATTCTGCTCAAATTAAGCTGTATGGGGTTTTGGGGTTTTGGGGTTTTGGGG